ACTCTGTAACTTTCACTTGGATGAAACATAGCATCATAGGGCAAACCTTTGTCAAGAAAGCTACATCAAATGAGCTAACATAGAATCCTGAAGGAATGAAATTTGGGATTTTTTTTTACTGCTTCAGTGCCACTACCACACTGCTGCAATCAGCCACAGTCATGTGATTCTCATTTTCAATGTTCTCTGACAGCTTCCCATAAATTGATGGGGAACCCAGAGGGAACTATAGGATTGCATCAATGCTCCTTGCCATCTTCTCACTAGCAAAGTCTTTGCTTGTGGGAAATTTGCAGAGAGAAGATCAGTGAAGAAATGGTTCACTCCTTCTGTGCTCACACTCCATTTTTCCTCACCCACATGGCAATAGTCACTTACCTGCATGCTGGGAAGGGGAGGAAGGAGGGAAAGGAAGGAGGAATATGGAGAGAGGGAAGAAATGAACAGGGAGAGTGGGAGGAAAGAAGTTAGGAAGGAAGGGGAGAAAGGAAGAGGGAAGAGGAAGAAAGGAAGGGAAAAAAGGAGGAAAGAAGGAAAGGAAACAGAAGCGAGGCAAGAACGAGAGAAAGGAAGCCACTTCCTTGCCTACTGAGAAGAGAAAGCAAGGGAGAGAGGAAGACAGGAAGGAGGGGGAAAGGAATAAAGGAAGGGGGAGGGAAAGAACAGAGAGGGAGAAAGAGTGAGGATGGATGAATAGATGGAAGAAAGGGAGGGGGGAGAAAGAGGCAGGAAGGAAGAGAAGAAAGAGGGAGATAAGGAGGTAAAGCAGGAAAGAGGAAGAAAGAAAGGAGAATGGAAGAGAAAGGGAGGGAAGAGGGGAAGAAAAAGGGGAGAGAGGAGGTGGGAAGGAAAGAAGATTCCTAATGCTCACTGCCAGCTTCCCATAAGGAAACTTCATGTAAAAGTCATCAGGAAGTTCGAAGTCGCTCCCACTCCCACTGATTTTTTTGCCTGCTTGTGGTCATTGTTTCTCTGTTTAGGTAAGGAAATATCTCTGAAATGATGAGCCAACAGGTCATGAGTTATCTTGATACTTTATACATTTGAAAACGTTTCCCACGATTGTGAATCCCTCAGATTAATAATTCCCTCTATGAGGAAGATAGGAAACCAAAAAATAAAAAATAAATTTGATTGGAATTCCTTGGTTTTTACTCACCCACCCATCTTTTTGCAACAACTTGTCTGAGAGAACACTTTCCAATGTCAATTAAATATATTTAAATAATATCTAATACTATCTACTTTTTAGTACACTTTTTTAATACACAATTTTAGTACACAATTTGTTCAACATCAAATTTTAAATGTTCAACATCAAACATTAAAATGCAAACTAAAATAAAGGAAAAGGGGAAGGAGAATCCTAAATCAATTTATATTTAGTTTTTGTTTTTTCCTTGCCACACAAAGTTAGAAATATCCTTTTGCTATTGTTTAAAAGTTATGTCAGTTATCATGATTGGTATAGTTTGAAATAAGAAACATTCTTTTTATTTTTATAACTAAAATTCTACCTAACATGAATATCTTTAATTTATCCCACCTGGTTAATTCTTTTAATGTCATTCCACAGTTTTCCATAGTTATTCTGAAATAGTATATAGTATATGATTTTGTATACTGCCAAATCAAAAGACTTATAGTATTTATCAAAGTAGTGAGGAAAAATGATACTTTATTTCCATGTGGCTCATTTTTCTATGACAGGTTGTTAGAATTTGGACAGTTATAGACAATATTCACAATGTCCATCACTACTTTCTGATTTGTTTCATTAACAGTCTTTGTTTTCCCAATATGATGTGCCCCTCGTATATTGTGCAAAAGCTCTGAGAATTCCCAAACAGAAAACCATACTAACCGAGATTATAAGTTGTAGCTCAATGCATTTGGAGGGCATCACATTGGAAAAAACTAATCTAGAAACATGGTTCGGCAAAAAGCTAAAATACTAAATAAAGACAGAGAAGAAAGCTTTAAACCCTCTAAGGCTGTTCAACTTGTTGTTTGTCAACTTCAGTTCAGTGTTTAACACAATCATTCCCCAGCATCTAGTAGACAAACTGGGCCTTTTAGGCTTAAACACTCTTTTGTGCAACTGGATTCTTGATTTTCTTACCAACAGGCCCCAATATGTGCGAGTTGGAACAAATACCTCTAATACCATTTTCTTGAGCACAGGTTCTCCTGAGGGCTGCGTCTTAAGTCCGCTGCTGTTCATCCTCTTGACCCATGACTGTTGTGCTAGGTTTGCCACCAACCATATTGTGAAGTTCACAGATGATATAACAGTAGTGGGCCTTATTCAGGATGACAAGGTGGAAGCTTACTGCAAGGAGGTTGAGCGGTTGGCGAACTGGTGTAAGAAAAACAGCCTAGTTTTAAATACCAGAAAAACCAAAGAGATCATTGTCGATTTCAGAAAAGGCAGGCACCGCCACACTTCTCTGTGGATTAATTATTCACCTGTGGAGATGGTTACCAGCATCAAATTCCTGGGTGTGCAGCTAACGAGTAGACTGGCTTGGTCGCTCAACAGTGACTGCATTTTCTGCGTTGCATGAAAAAAAGCACATCTTCCTTCCCCTGTCCTGACCACTTTCTACAGAGGGACGATCGAGAGCATCCTGTCATACAGCATCACAGTCTGGTTTGGAAGCATCACTGCTGCAGACAGGAAGGCGGTGCAGAGAGTGGTGAGGATGGCTGAAAAGATCATTGGCAGTCCCCTCCCTCCCATCCAGGACATAGCACAGAAGCATTGCTTGAGCAGGGTCCGTAAGATTATCTGGGACACTACACATCCTCTTCGTGACCTCTTTTCCTTGTTACCCTCTGGGAGGAGGCTTCGTGGTATCTCTAGCAGAATATCCAGATTGAGCCATAGTTTCATTCCATACAGCATTAACTTTGTGAACTCTCAAGCTTCCTCCTTCCGTTATATATTCAAGATGGGCAGTATTTAATGTTTATTTGCTACGTATATGTAGGGATGTGGGTCTATACATATGTTGTTCATAGTATGTTTAGGTTTATGTCATGTATGTGTTTCACTTTGAGAGCAGGCAACTAAATTTCATTTTTGATGTGTGCCGTAGTGCCCACAGTAAAAAAATGACAATAAAGGTTATCTTATCTTATCCAATCCAGCCTCCTTCAATATATATTCAGCCTGTAAACTGAATACCTTGCCTCACTTTTTTGCCAACCTGGAGCCACTCTGTTTTGCCTGTTCCATCTGTAGTGGGGATTTTTCTTTTGTGTAGAGATTTTGCACAAGGAAAATGAGATGTTCTAGGAATACCATTTTCCTAAGAACTTTCCTCAGCTTGACATGGCCAATATAACTGAAGGTCTTCCTATAGTGTATGAAGCACATATTGACTTCTTTTTAGTATCTTTTGGCTTTTTTTCATATGCTTCAGCAAAAAAGTTTGAAGGTCTGACATCTCCCTTTCCATGTAAGGCTCTAATCTAGATAATCCTAAGTGTTATTTCCGTGGCATGTGAAATTAAACATTATGCAATAATGCACTCTGTTAACTGTCTTTTCTTGGTTATTATTATTCTAATCTGTTGGCCATTGTAACATTCTTCAGATTTGCTACTCTAGTTTGGTTAGAACCTTTATTGCTTTTTGTAGAGTGCCATGTTTCCATAGATCAGGGGTAGGCAACCTTGGCTCTTTTATGACTCTTGGACCTCAACTCCCAGAATTCCTGAGTTGGCTCAGCAATTCTGGGAGTTGAAGTCCACGAGTCATAAAAGAGCCAAGGTTGCCTACCCCTGCCATAGATATTCCATCAATTCCTGTAGTCTTCCAATTTGGTAATGACTGGAACCTTAACCTAACTTAGTCTTCTGATAATAGAGATTGTTGTAAATAAGGAAAAAGTTATCTTGGATGTTGAAAATATTTCAATATATTCTTTCCATATTTGTTTCAATCTGCTACAGGTAGTCCTCAATTTACAGCTACAATTGAGTCCAACATTTCCATTGTTAAGCAAGGTAGTTGTTAAGTGAACTGTGCCTCATTTTACAATATTTTTGCCACAGTTGTTAAGCAAATCACTGCTTTGTTAAATAAATCTTGCAGTCATTAAGCGAATCTGGCTTCCCAAATTTGCTTAATGTCAAAAACCGGTGGGGAAAGTTACAAATGGTGATCACATGACAGCGCAACTGTCATAAATACATGCCATTTGATGAACACACAAATTTTGATCACATGATCATGGGCATACTGCAATGGTTACAAGTTTGAAAACTGATGTCACTTTTTCAGTGACCTTGTAATTTCGAACAGTCACTAAATCAGTGGTTCTCAACCTTTTTATACGGCGATCCCGGTCATAAGGAAGTGTCGCGCATGCGCGCCGCCCCCCATGCGCAACGCGCATGCACAGCGCCGCCCCTATGCAAGGCGCCACCCCCGAGGGACAGAATGGCGGATCGTGTTGTTTGGCAACCCCCGTAAAATGGTCGTTCAACCCCAAATGGGGTCGCGACCCAAAGGTTGAGAATCGCTGCACTAAATGAATGTAAGTCAAGGACTATCTGTACTATCTGTTCTTTAGTGTTGTTCACCATATCAGCTTGAAGTTACAATCTCTTTCTTACTCCAGCCCTCTTTGGAAAATTTATTTTTCTGTGTTTTTTTAATTTTTAATCTCATTGCAGGTGCTGTTGTAATACTGTTTGTTCTAAAAGTTCTCTGATATTCTTTGTTGAACCTCTTCCTGAGAACTTGGTCCTTCTTGGCTTTGGTTCCAGTTTGCTTTGAAAATCTCTTTTCGCATGCGTAACAGCTTATCTATTTCAGACAAGTTAGAAATGCAATTTGCACATTGTTTCATTTTTGCACCGTTCATTTTTCTAATTTACAAAACGCATTAGTACATAAATATCCAATATTATCTGTCAATTCAAGAACAATTCTGTTCAGAGAAAGCTCATATTTATATCGTTTCGGGACAAAACCTACAGTGGGGTATCGGCGGCAGCCACTTGAAGCGCACTGCAGCGGTATAAACAGCAAGTGTACGACGAGTGGCGTGGCGCGCGCTAGAACGTCCCCCAACTCGCTCTCGCGGGCCACTATCATAACGGCAACTGTGGCAGCAGCGGCTGAATTGCCACCAGTCCCCTCCGCCTCCGCCCCCTCATCAGGGGGCCGCGAAGACAAGACGCGAAGACGAAGAGAAGCCCTAGGGCCGCTGCCGGGCATGCGCGACGCCCCAGAAATATGGCGGAGGTGGCAGCGTGACTGTTGGTGGCGGCTGCGGCACCGCGCAGCTGACAGACGGGCGAGTTGGGTGCACGGCGTGCCGCGAGGCCGGGACTTCCTCGTGTTCGGTGAGTGGCGCCGGTTCCCGAGTGAAGGACCGAGCGTTTTTGGCTTCCGAGGAAGAAAAGCAGGCGGAGCTGGACTCGCCTCCCCCCTTCGCCGCAATTTTCTCCTCTATTAGCTGCGGGATCTCCCGGGTCCTGCATTCTAAAGCGCGGACTGAGAAGGGAAAACGCTGTTGTCAGATCAGCAGTCATCCGCCGCCCCTCGCAGAGTATTTGGTGTATGCGAGGTCGGGGTCACTTGTTCCGGATATTCGTCCTCGACCTCCCCCAACCAAGTCTTCTTAGTGGCTGTCTTTTCTCCTTCAGGTTTTCCCGAGCTGCCTCTCTTCTCGGCCTCTTTGGGTCCTAGGGCAGTTTGGAGGACGCGCTGCCCTTAGTTGTTTACTTTAACGGGTCGGAGGGGATTTATAATCCAGCAAACGTGACTCTTCCCCCCCCCCGCTCTTCTTCCTCAGCTAAACCTTCACGTCCACCTTTCTGATGATCAAAAGGCAAAGGGAGAAGAGAGAAAACGTTGCATTCCTCTTTGAGGAGGGGCAGGAGGAGGTGGGAGATCTTGCGAGGGGGGAACTCACCCCTGCATTTAGCCTGGGGGCATGGCAGGTCTCATTCTCTCCCGCTTTCGCTCGTTTTCTCGCTCTGGAAAGCACTGCTAGGTCGAGGCCGGCCGGAGAGCCGGTTCTGGACGGGCAGTTCTGCGCTTTGAATGCTGCGCGGTTTTATTTGAAAGGGGAGGAGAGAGGAGCGGCTGACATCTCCTGACCAGAGCTGAGCCAGCACAGCTGTCGCATTTAGCCCTAGGTAAATTTGGTAACAAGGCTGGCTTTTCTGTTGGGCATGCTGCTTAACGCGCATTTAACTTTAGTAGGGCGGGAATAAGCGTGGGCACTGAAGAAGAGGTGAATCTTTCCCCCCCAAGCTTTTCGGGCTAAACGCTCAAGGACTAAAGCTGTTCGCGGCAGTTCTGCACTTTTTTGACCCCCCCCCGTGCGTATTTTGAGTGGGCTCTTATTTTTGGCTTGCTTGGATGTGGTTTGACAGGAGCGTAGACGTGGACACACCTCTTCGAGATGTAGCTTTCTTCTGGCTGAGGACTCTCCTCCCTTTCCTCTTCTTTGGCATGGAGTACTAAATGCGAGTGGGGCCTCGTGGACCGACTATTGCTGCAACAGTTACTTTATCTTGGTTGGCCGGACAAATAGGCACCCAAGGAATAGATGCGTTTTCTTTGCTTCTGGTAACCAATGAGTTGGGTGCGGTGTTTGCTGCTTCTCCTCTTGTAAATGAAGGGCAATCTTTCTCCGAAGTCAGTGAGACTTGGCCTAAAGAGCCTTGAGACGAGTGGAAGGTATATTAACAGAGAAACACGATGCTTCTCTAGTGCAAAATTGTACCTAGAAATTGTCTTCCGTGCAGGAACAAGAAGTTTCAGGACATTTATTACTTTGGGTTTGTATGTATGTTGGCCACAATACACTTCTGATCCCATTCATCGCTTCGAAGAAACAGTTTCAGCCTGTGCCTATTTTCTTTGTCAATTTTGACCATGGGTGCAATCTAGTGCCTGGAAGCATGCTCAGTACAATTTAGGATAGCTTACTTTTGAGACAGCATGCAAAACATTGCACTGCATGGTTTTAATACTGAAAGTACCTACCAAGGAACAAGCCCCATTGAGCACACTGAGAAATATTTGTAAGTAATAATACATAGAACTGCTTTTTGTGTTTCCAAACTACAGTGGTTAGTCTCCACTAAAATGTTTTTATTTGCCTTGCACAAAATCTTGAGTATGTTTCTAAGTAGTAGGATTGCACGGATAATCATTTTAAATAAAAATCTAATATTATTGAACAACAAAGATTTTTTTAAAATGTAAAGTTTCAGTAACTTATGGTATAAATATGGTGATCCATTGGGTTAATACAATATGTGTCAGCTCAATTGTAATTTAGATGAAAATTCACGTTATTCAGCAGTGGTTGAATTAGATCAGTTGATCCTTGTCTCTTGAGCTGCTAAAAAGAGTTTAGGGAAAACTTAAAAAACAATTGTATTCAAAGTGTAATTTTAAAGTACTGATGCAATTATTCTAAATCTTAGTCCTATAAATAAGAACATGGTCTCCCCAAGTTTAAGTTCCTAAACATCTTTATTTAATTTGTGTAAAAGTTTGGATAACTTTTGAGGCTTATACCCAAGTATACATTAAAAATGGTATTAAGGTAAAAGCATGTTTGGGATAATGGCATAAAAATAGATTTTTTACAGAGTTTTTTTCCCCTAAGGATAGGGAATACTATAATACAGTTATAGAACTTAAGGGCTAATTCACTGTTGATATTTCTCTCTTCCCTCCAGCCCCATAATGGTTGAATTATATACTAGTAATTAATTCTGCTATTGCAGCAATTTCTGTGTTAAAGCTTATTTCGCTTTATTCTTGTCCATGCAGTTTGCTGCTGTAATATTCCAGTAGTAATGCGTTTAGTAGAAAGCAAATCAATCCAAAGTAATGAACTCTTTGCTCTATAATTTAGCTGTGAAAAATGAGTAAAAATCACACAAGATTAAAAGATACATGATTTTTGCGGACCTGCAAGTGTGACTTTCCCAAGTCCATTCATTTTTCTTATATATGTTCACATATAGTACACATGGCTGATTGAGGGCAAGTTAAGTTATATGTAGTTAATTATTGTATTTTTCCCCACTACTTGCTTATCCACTTGTATGTAGTATAAAATAAAATCTGCATTCAGATAATTCTAACTAAATTTATATGACTGGATTGGATTGATGGTGCTCTTTATGTAGAAAATTGTTGTTTAAAAAGTTTAAAGTTTATGATATGAAGCACTATCATGAAAATATTTAAATGAAAGATCTAGAGCTTTTTGAAAGCAACAGGTGCAAATGTAAATTGGGTTTGTCCTTCAGAAAACTAATCCTAGTCTCAGAGCAATATAAAAACTCCTGTCTCACTTCTAGTTTAAATAGTACACAGCTATTCAAACAGTTATGCAGCATGTGGGAAAACAACTGTGCTTGATCCCTGCAATTAAGGGCTTTTTTCCCCCTTAGTAAAGCAATTTCTCTTTACTGAATTGGAATTGCAACAAACAATTTTGAGATTTTAATTTAATTTGATTAGATTTGCTAAGGACATCAAACTCCAAAAAGACTCTTAAAGTACAGATGTAAGATTGTAGTTAGTATAAATGTATTTACAAAATTATCCTCCTCTAAAGTAACTTTATAAGAAGGCATATGTAAGAAAGAGATTTCAATATACAAATCAGTGAGTAGCATGGCAAAAAAGCAATTTGAACAGGTATGATTTCTGAACATTGTACTATTCACAAAGTAGTTTAATTATAATTCTGAATAAATGTTACTTCTTTTCTTGGTCTGAAGAATGCTCCTTCTAATCTTGTTAAGATCACTGTAATTTAGAATACTAAATTATATGAATAAAAAAAGATTATCGGTACACATATTTTTAACTTTTTTTTAAAAAAAGTACATATCAATAAATAAGAGCAATGTCATTAATTTTTCTAATTACCAAAATACTTTTGCTTGAAATATATGCTTAAAATGGATTTTCTGTAAACTGCTGCAAATGAATTTATTGTCGCAACTTTTTAAATAAATCACTTCACCTTCCAGTGTGGAAGATAACTTTTGATAATTAAAGTAATAATGTGGCACATTTTAAAAATGATACTTAAGGCCTATTTTCTATTATTAAAGCTTCTTGTCTGCACCCCTTCCCCCATGTACTGAGATATATGTAATAGGCGAATTTAAGATATTACACATTTAAAATTAATAGATTAGCTAGTGTTTTGCTTTTTATTCCTCAGTCACAAGTTTTATATCATTTATCAATCTGGAATAAGGCAAAATATATCCTACCTTATAAAACTATAAAGCTGACTCAATTATTTAACTCATTTAAAGGCACATAACTCTTTAAAAAATAATAATGGTCAAATATCCTCTTGTTAATTTTGCAGTCTTGAATTTAGATTTTGAACAGTTCATACAGATGTTCTATGTTATTCTATGTTATTAGAGATGGATTCATTTGATTAAACTCGTACTTTCAGGTTGACATTTTTTTATTGTTCTCTCTTCTGGCAATTAAGGGTAAAAATACCCTTGGCAATACATGGCCCTAGTATGTGACATCGTGGCAATTTGTAAACAAAGCCCAAGAGATGTATTTGATAATGTATTAGATTTTTAATGAATAAATGAGAAGGAGAAGGAAATAGCCACATGAATAATTAATACTGTGTTGTAGATGCACTGACATGTAATTATGATTTATAGTAACAAAGAGTTGACCGCTTTTTCTATATTGAATCTGAGATGGAAAACTTTTCTTTTTAGAAGAGAAATTAATCCCCATCTTTGGAAAATTTGTATCTGCAATATATGATGAGGCAGGTACATTTTTGTCCATTGCACTTTGCTTTAGGAAGTTAATATATAAATGATTCCTACTCTTCAACATTAGATCTAAAATTCTAGGACGAATTTGTGGGCTGAATTTCATAGACTATGAAATAGGTTATTGGCAATGATTACTGGTCATCTGCCTTTGGATGGAGTTTCTCTGTTAGCTGACAACCTTGTTGTCTCTGTCTACATGCTCACTTGTCTGAAATGCTGGAATTCTTTTTATGTTTTTCCAGCAAGCACTTCAGTGGCTTGAGAGACATAATCACTATTGAACTGGAATTTTTATTACAGGAGCAAGTGTAATCTGCTACTGGCTAGAAAAGCAACAATAGAAAGATAAACACAAGTGGTTTAAAATTGACTGCTCATAAAGAGGATAACTTGGATCACCTTTCAGTTGTAAGATAGCTTTGAAATCTGTTTGAGTTCAATAGCTTTTTGTAATAGCTCTTATTTCTTTTTATTGAAATGGATATTCATTTATTGAATTAATTTCATAGAAAAGTGTTCTCTTTTATTTGTATATTTTA